AAGCAACTCGGGCCAAAAAACTATGAAAACAAGACTGTGAACTTAGACGAATCGTTCGTTTAAGCGGGCAAAAACGGAAAAATGGAGAAATCGTGTCAGAGCGTAAAGCTAATGGCATTCGCTCTTGGCTGCAAAGTGATGTTTCGGAAGCGCAATTTGCGAAGGAAACTTCTTGGAGTATTTATTTCTGTTAGTGGGGAACGCTGATTAAATTTATCTGTGTCCGCATATCCCTGTAATTGCTATTTCGCTACAAATGGAAAAGTTTCCGATTTTTATCCGATAAATCTAGCTGGAATCGATGAAACTCGATCATAGAAAAAATTACGAAAGTCCTTCTACAGCAGTTTTCAGGTTTCATGGGGCAACTTCCTGTTGACCGGCCCAACAATTATAATAATTAATTAACTGTTTTGTCTGCTTGATGGAAGCCGCACTTTGAAAAAATTTAGCGCATTTCCATCGTCATCCCTCGCCCCGTTTCGTGGAAAGTGGAAACCCTCCCGGCTGCGCGCTAGTTTGGCGCAGTCGGAATTATCAATACAACATTGCGGGTTCTGGATTAACCTGACATACGATAATTCTTAAAAAAACAATAATTTTATTCGGTCCTTTCGTGAATATTTCGATCTGTGATACGTACGTTATTTGTGATATGCGCTAAACTTGGGAGACGTTATAGTGCGACAATACGTGACCAATTTTAAGGTGTACAGTGTTAACTTGTTTGTATTTTGTAAACGTTTATTATTGCTCGCGCGAAAGCTGGAAGAATGGGTTGGATGTCGCTCAAAGCTCACCTGGTAAGCGTTCGCTTCCCTTGAACCGCTCTTGCACTAATGTTAATGACATAACCCTATAAAGTTCGAGGGAAATGTAACCGATAAGGGCGCAAAACCTCAACTTATGCGGCGATTTTTCTTTTCCAGAAAGAACTGTTCACCCACAAGCTGGAAAGTGACACGGTTGCAAGTCGGGAACGGAAAATGTCCGCGTCTTCGACCGCCAGCATGAAGAACAAATGGCTCAAAGCCTTCAAAAGTCTTAAAACCCCACCCCCTGAAGATCCCAAGTAAGTCTTCAGTTCACAGAGTTCGCTTTAATTTGTTCATGTTTCAAATTGTTTCCCAATTCCATTGAGAGCGGGCAATAGATACTAGGAAACGTTTATTTTTTGGCCTTATTTTAGGTGTTTCTTCATGTTTTTGCCCGAAATTGCCCCCTTTTGATGCATTTTTTCAAATTTATGGAAGATAATTTAATAAGTACTGTCTGCTTTGGGAACACGGGAAATAGCATCTGTACTCAATACAGATTTTTTAAATTAAACATATTGATTCCTTCGCCCAGAAAGCCCAGAAAAAATCCAATTAATTAACGCAAGCAAAAGTTTCATTAAA